CTGCACTGCAAGAAAAATCTACAAAATAAAATAGTTATTTTTTGTAAACACTTCTGCGTTAAACCTAAACGGACGCTGCTTGTCAGAAGTTGTGTTTACAGTAATAAAAATTTGCCTAACAAAGAAAAAATGCTTAACGTTTCGGAAAGTTTTCTCTTTCCGTCGTCGGAAGCAAAAAAAAGTATAAAGAATCAAGAAAAAAACGATTTAAAATATTTAAATTGAACTATTCGAGAACACTTTACTTTTTAAAACAGATACGTCTACAAGAAATCGTTGACGTTCTGTTAAAATGACATTATATTAAGTTAAACTTCAAAATTAACAATTACTATCTGATAACAATTACTTAATAAGGTAAAACCAAAAAGCCCAAACTTTTTGTATGATTATTTTTAAATTTTACGTATGTTATGTTCTTTAAAATCAAAGAAAAGATTGCCATACATTACTAACATCTATAGATGCATGAGCAATACATTTATTTTTATTAGATTGAATTAAAAAAGCCTCTTTTATTTTTCTTTTAGAGGCTATCGCTTCTTTCATTATAATTTTGGCGTTATTAAAATTTATGCTGTGCCCTGTGTCCCATGAATGTGTTTACAAAAAATAACTATTTTATTTTGTAGATTTTTCTGGTACTGCAGTGGCGAAATACCCATAAAGGATTTTTTGGATACATAAAATAGTTCAACATAGCTTCCATACATATTTCTTGTACATAAATATTTCTTCATTTTCTATTCTGTACAAACGAGTGGGAGTAGCGAAAGACAGAATAACAATTGTTTAAAGCAATGTGGCGATAGACGAATATTTTTAAGACTTCGAGTTTGGCATGTAAAAAAGACTTTTTTAAGACACGAGAGAATAGAGGACAGTGAGATCAAAAAGAGGACTGTCCTCTGGAATAGAGGAGACCGGACGGTTGGCAACCCTATACTAAACCTATATTGTTCGAAAGTAGATACCCATATCTATCTGGTATTTTTTTTTGTTTTCGGTGCACTCGTGGATGTGAATTCTGAATTATTTTGTCTTTATTTTGATATGATTACGTATGCTTATGTATCCGAACTGTATTTCGGAAACTTCGGCGGCATATTCTTCTTCTGTCAATATATAGATGAAAATTGGTGTCTGGGAGTTTTTTGACATGAGAAATTTGATTTTGATGTCAATATGACTCCTATTTGAAAGGGGCGCCACCTACATGTGTTTTAACACTTTTGAAGAGTAATAACTTTTTGTCCGTACCTGTATAAAACTACTGAGTGAAAAAATATACATTTACGACGTGTTTTACATAGAAAAGGAATAGGAATTTTAAATAGAAAAGAAATCTCTTAGTAAAAATCGCTACGAGTAATGATTCTCGAGATTTTGGAATTGGGAATTAAAATTATCAATACCTGTCACTGACATAAATTAAACATATATTAACTAAATAGTTATTAGACTGAAATCCTAAATTTGACATGTTCTTGTGGCAAACATTCAACAGAAACTGTATTATCATCATTTTTTCGAAGAAAAAGTTATGATTAATTTAAAAAAATAAAAAGTTCCTAAATATATCATTTCAGTCAAATAACTATACTCTCAAAGTAGGGGTAGAAGGCCGATTCTGCATCAGGAGCAGGAGCAGAGCGCACAGCGCATGCGCGTAAATCAGCTAGGAACATGTAAAATAGGCTAATAAACAAGAATAAACGGGTTTGAACCGCTTTGAACCGCTTTTGAACAGCTTTGAACGGGTTTGAACAAAAACTGAACAGGTCTGTTGTTTTACGCTAAAAAGCTGTTCAAAGCAGTTCAAACCCGTTTATTCTTGTTTATTAGCCTATTTTACATGTTCCTAGCTGATTTACGCGCATGCGCTGTGCGCTCTGCTCCTGCTCCTGATGCAGAATCGGCCTTCTACCCCTACTTCTCAACACGTTTAATTTTTTGTCAATAATGACATTTATTGACATTTCCCTTCTAAATATCTTGAGAATGGTTGCTCGTAGCCATTTTTACCAAGATACATTTCTTACGTAAAAAATCATGAAAATGTATATTTTTTCACTCAGTAGTTTTATACAGGTATGGGCGAAAAGTTATTACTTTTCAAAACAGTTAAAACACATGTAGGTGGCGCCCCCTACAAATAGGAGTCATATTGACATCAAAATCAAATTTCTCGTGTCAATAAACTGCCAGACACCAATTTTCATCGAAATATTGACACTACTTCAGAAATTATTTGGAAAAAATCGAAATAAAAATGAAATTTCTACACCCTGTATCTCCGAAACTAAGCATTTTCGGACATACATTTATACGAACTTTTTTACTTATTTTTATCTGCAGAATATGCTGCTGAAGTTTCCGGAATACAGTTCGGATAACCCTGTATATATGATTAAGTACCGTATGATCGAAAAAAAAACGACGCCAGCGATGGCTATGAAATGAAGATCGTTCTCATTTTATATGTAAAATTATATGGGGAATGTCATTGATCATCATTTCCAAGCCAATTGGTCGACGTTTTTGTTCGATCAAACAGTACCAGTCTGTCCAACCAAGTTGTCCATCGATTACACTGATAGTTGTGCCTGTCATTTTAATTCACAAGGAAATTCTACAACATAATCGAATGAAAACGGCGGCACCGATGGCTATGAAATGAAGATCGCTGTCATTTTATATGTAAAATTTTATGGGTAATGTCATCAATCGTCATTTGCCAACTGAGCGCCGTTTTTCGATCATACGGTATTTTCTGTCATTTTTCTGTCTCTACATAAACTTTAGCTAGTAAGTAGTTAGTAGTAACTAATGAAATGCTCAGAGTTTTCTCTTCTATTAAAAGCATCTTATTAAAAATTTAACGTCTTATTAAAAATTAACACTAGAAAACGAGGACACAGCCTTGGAACTGAAAGCCCAATTATTTCCAAGCATAAATCAATAAGGAACTATTACTAATATTGTTTTTACAAGATAAGTATTAGTAACAGTCAATTTTGAGATTGACGGCACTTTACTGTAGACTAACAACTAGAAGAAACCTCACAGTAACAGTCTATAGTTGTCTATCATTTTAAATCAGAGGTTATTAACTGGCGAATGTCCATGTTACATTACATTTGGCTTAAGTCAATCTCCGCCGTCAAACATATTTAACTAAATAGTTGTAGGTTTGTTTACGTATTTTGTACAATGTCTATAGTCTTTACCTTGTGGTGGGTTTATTTCTGAATAAATGATTTTTGTAAAATAACACTGCGTAGAATTCACGTAAACCGACTATCATTGGCTTTTTGCTAGTAACCAAATTTGTCTAAAACTATACTATAATCCTTAATATTTCAGGGGGTAATAAGAATAAAGAAAAATATCCAGATATCTGTCTAGATATTTAGTTAATTCATAAATTAAAAACAAAAACAGTATATTTCCTTTTTCAATCAACAAGAAAAGAAGTTGAAAATAGCTAAGTGGGTAACGAGCATCAGGTGTACGGTCGATGAGCCAGGAAATTCGATTAAAATCGGGGTTGTTGCGTAAAAAGGAGCCTCGTTTGATTAATTAATTGGCTGTACTAACAGCTATTACCCCACAACTTTATTATTCTCGACAGCGGAGCCTTTCAGCTTGCCTCGTACAACCGTTCTCGCAGAAAATGAAAATCCTAATTAGGTCCGAGGGAAAACAAAAACAAATATATTAATAAAGCTATTAATAGTGGAACTATGTAATATTATATTAGTCACATCGGCATTACTATTGATTACTTAATAACCATTATAAATCTTTTAAATATATAAATTTAACCTAACCTAACCTAACCAACGCAACCCAACTTTTTCATTTTTTCAAATAAAAAAAATAAATTTGGTGTATAAATTAGGATTAATTGACATATTCAATTGTTTTCGGTCACTTCATGTTTCAACGGAAATAACTACAACTTTTGATTTTTAATTAACACTCGGAATAGAATGACATATCATATGTCAACTTTTGACATTTTCGCATATTGTTTATTTGAAATTGTAACATGCGGTTCATATCGACGATTTGACTCGAAACACTAAGTGTGTTGTACCAAATTATTCGTAAAAAATGCTCTTTCCAAATGTTAATGAGCCACCCTCGTTCCATTTGAAAAACTTGAGATATGATTAAAAGATTTGGGCATTTTTAAAATGGCCAGGACAAAACACAAACAACATTAGTTAGTGTTTTTAACACAGCCATGGCATAACATGGCACTAACATTAACATAACATGGCACTCTAGATTGAAATTTAAAATACAATTTGTTTTTAAGCGAACATTACAAAAGTTGACATATTAATATGAATATATTATTCAGAGTGTCATTTTCTATCGAATAAAGTAAAAATATACCGAGGGTGCCATTTAAAAATTAAAAGTATTCATTTCCGGTGAAACAGTAAGTGACCAAATACAATTGAATACGTCAATCAATCCTAATTTATATCATATATTAACATACCAATCTCGTTTTTTTTATCTGAAAAATAAAAAGTTATAGGGGTGAGCCATTTTTGAGACGCACCCGGTATAATAAGATATTTTTATTATATTTATTCAAGGTACTTCCATATTGTTATGTTATATTAAACTTTAAATTAAGCATACTTTAATAATTATATTTAATATGTCTTTATAAATATTTCAGTCAACGATATAGTGGTCATTAATATTGGAATCCATATTACAGGACATTATCATCTATAACACCCTCCAATATAAATGAACAAAAGATTCATGTTACAGAATCTATAGCAACACTTTGACAAGATAAACCACGAACGTTACTAAAGTCCATCGTGTGACAAACATACAATGCATAAATAACTACTAAATATATCATATTTAAAGTCGGGATAGACATAAATAGAATATACTTACAATACACAATCCGTCCTCTGAAATCCCTTGATGGTACAAAAAGCCATCCAGCAGCAATCTAAAAGAGCTAGTGAAAACACTGGAATCACCTAAAAATAAAAAGGAAAAATTATTTTTAATTAATCATCATTTTCTTTCTATTCCAGCGCGACGATGGGTGACGGTAATGGTCTTTTAGATGCCCACCACCACGATGTTCAATTGGTGACCGTCAACGGTTCCAATTCTGGCTCCAGCGGTAGAAGCACACCCAACGGACAAAATGGCGGGGCGGGAGACCCATCTTCGGGCAAACTGTTCGTAGGAGGACTTAGTTGGCAAACGTCGATAGAAAAACTGAAAGAGTACTTTGGCATGTTTGGTAATGTCACTGATGTACTTATCATGAAAGATCCAGTGACACAGGTAAATATTTGGATTTAGAAATGGTTCATTCATTTGGAAATTATAGTTTTTTTGCTGCAAACTTATGGCAATGGATTATGGATAATGTTTATATGGTTTTTTGAGTTCTGCTTTAAGTTGGTTTCTACTTGGGACGCAGAAAGGTTCTGGTCCAGTTAGTAGAGCGTTCGCTTCTTTTCTGGCTAGATCATTAAATTTTCTGTTTCATTCCCTTCTATCCCTTGGTGTGCTGGCACCCAGAGTAGGAGGACTCTATTTTCTTGCCTAATTTGTTCAGCTTCTAGGCATTTTTTGACCAACTTCGAATTGATGGTTACTGAGTTGATCGCTCTTAAGGCTTCTTGACTATCGGATAATATCTACAATCTACTGGAAGCTTCTTTCATTGACGATATTCCCATAAGTTTGCAGAATTCAATATATCACAAAGATTATACTAATAATTATATTATTCCTGTTATAGAGAA